AGGCACCTGGACGGCACTGGCAAGCCTGCCGTGGTAACCCTAGGCACCCTGGATGGTTTGGGCAAGCCTCCGCTCACCCCGGCATCTCCCGTGCCTTATCCTGCCGCCCCCATCTCCGCGGTCTCGAGCTCCAACAACGTATCCTTCTTCGGAAGCAGCTACGGCCGAGACGACGATGACGGTGACCTCTCGTAGATGGGTAACGGGGGTGACGGCCTGGGCCGTCCTGCCGTCGCGTGACGTGAGTGTACCGTGGTTGAGAACGTCACGGACGTAGATGTCGAAGAGTTACGAAACCAAGACACCATAGTAAGCATGAGATACAAACGCGAGCGCCGCCGACAGCCTAGTGGGGGCACGAGAGCATTGAATCAAGACACACAAGCGTTTCCGTATCACGGGGCCTTTGGCAAAATCGTACCTTCACCGCGGCAGCAGAGCTGAAATGACCTCCCAGCCTCGAGGCGGCCGGCCCAGCAGCAGCGGACCAAGAAGAAGCACCCACCGCTGCGGCGCGCACGGCTGTACCTGAGCGTTGTGGAGATGGGGAGCGGGAGGGCGATCGAGGCGACCGACGCGGGGACGGCGGGCGCCCGTCACGTGCCCGTGGGGAGGTGGACCTTCCGCGGGAAGGGGCGGCCGTCGACTTTGTCTCCGACGACGGCAGCAGCAGCGGGATCACATCGGTGGTGGTGGTGTTGTCCGTCGTCTTGCACACGGCGGCGAAAGGCTCAGAGGGCTTCGAGGAGGTCAGGCTCAACACCGCCGACGGTACCGGCGCCGTCAACGTCTCCGTCGCCGTGGCCATCATGATGGACCGTCCTTGCGCCACGGAGCGGACCGCCGTTGAGCTTGGAAACCGTTGCGATCGTGGAGGGAAGCAGGTGTGACTTGGTGACATATATGGGGGCGCTAGCGACGGCACCCAGAACCGAAGTTGTGTGGACAGTTAGTACCCGGGCACCGCTGTTGGCGACGCTGCGGGTGTTGCTGTAGGAGGTCCCGGCGGGCGCGGCTTGGTGTTTCCCCGTGACGATGCGCTTCAGCATCCTTCGCCTCGCAGCAAGCTGCTGCGGAGGGCCCCGGATCGATGCCCAGTTGTAGAGCGGTACCGCCCACCCCAACGAATCGATGCGAACGATCTGCCTGCCTGTCTGAAGTTGGAGCAGGACGAGCGTGCCTTCGGCGCTGTTGTTGTTGTGGTTGTTGTTGTTGTTGTTGTTGTTGATGATGATGATGGCACTTCTTCGGACCACGGCGAGCGAGCTTGACTGCGCACGTGGTGCTGGCAGCACCAGGGCCTGGTTGTCCGCAGCGTTGTCCATAGCTTCGTCGTCTTCTTCGTCTCTGGAAAAAGGGGCATAACAAGAACTTTATCAAGTCAACATATCCGAACTGACACCGCCGTATCCGTGCCGTTCGGAGGAATCAGGGAGTCCCCCCCAGGCCATGCGAGTGCGTTCAGCATGCGAAAGAGCGGATTTCGTTGTCTTGAATGCCCAACCGAGTGGTAATGCGGAGCGGCCGGTGCCAAACATAGATATGCTGGGATGCTGGGATCCTACATCAGCCACGGCTCTCGCCCGACTCGTTTACGACGCACGTCTGATGTAGCACTACAAGAAGACGCGTAGACAAAGAAAAACATGGCTTTCACTGATCTGCTGCTACTTCTATGCTTGACTTCCTCTGAGATCTGCGACACGTCGAATCATCGGGATCTGATCCCGCGTGCCAACAACACTCCTGCCACTGCCAGCTCATGTACACACCCATGGCATGGACACCTCTCGCGCCCATGATGCTTGCCTTCACACCTAAGGGTCGTTGATGCGAAAACGACCTCGTCACCAATCGAGGCTAGAGAGTTCGAGCCTGCCGCGTGATGAAGTTGTTTTGTGAGCTGATGATCGTTTGTGTGAGTAGGGAGAGCAAGGGAGGGCATGACCGATAAGACCGAAAAAAAAAAGGATCAGTTCTTGATTCTTGATGCGGCATTCTCCGGAGATGCGGCGCAACTGATTCGGCCAAATTCAAACCAGCCAATCAGATCACCGCCACAGAGGTTGTGGCGTTTCCTGCATGTTGTGCCTGCCTCCACGCCTCCGCCATGCGCACCGCCAGCCCTAACTCACGACCGTTCTTTCTCCGGCGGGTGTGCGAGCTGAAAAAAGTCAGAGCGTAGCCGAAACCGTTACCCGCTGTCGTTATTCTGATGCAAACGTTTGTTCTTCTCTCGGCATGGCAAGCAGCATTTCATGACTTTTGACATCCTCCAGGCTGAAAACGCCACATTTCCTGCATAACCGTCGTTCCGTATTTGATAAAGGGGGAAAGCAACAGGACGCTATAGGTTTTAGCGTGGGTATTATCAATTTTCTGTTATTGTTGTTGTAGTCGCAGTCGTCTTCAAGCCTTGCTGATTTCTCTGCCCCGTACCTTCATCTGTCCGTGCCGATGTAACTCTTGACGCGCGCTCGATTCCCCGTGGTCACAGGGTAACTTACCCTAAAAAGGTGTCCTGTACTTCGCGAAAGTTCGAACCCCTCAAGGTGTAAATTGGAGGTGACGAACGGGACTTTGCCTCCTCCTCAATACCCCCCCTTCATTAGCCACCCAATAAGGGTGCCCGATCGGTTTTCTACGAATCGGTTCACTTCTTGACGAGTCTTCTGTGGGTCTGTTCTCCACCTCACCTTCTCCATCACCGTGTGTTGGCGCGTACCTCTTCATTCTACATGCGACTTCGAGATTCACGGTTTGAAGAAAATCGAGTCTGCACGCAAGAGCTCCTAAAGGGGGGGGGGGGTAGGTTTACGTGTTCTGGGCCTGAAGAACCTGACGAAATGCGTGGACACCTCACCGGGCTCAACACGTGGCAAGGATGAAGCGGAAACAAAAGCTTCGGAGGGACGGGACGAGCGGAGGGCGACCTGCATCATCCTTGCCATCCCCGCAGGACATGGAGGCGGGTTACACGGTGCAGAATAACATGGTAGGCAAACAAGGGCAAGCGCACGGAAGCCACGGGAGGACCCCACCCATCGACACGGATGAACACATCGTATCAATCGGGCGTGATTCATTCTGGTACGTTCGGCGATGCTTCCAGACTCTTCGCAGCGCTGCAAGGAAGGCGAACGAAGCCTGCTACAATATTGTAGCGTAACGGCTCTTGATTCTTCCGGTCGCCAACAATCGCAGCTCCTTCGAAGTAAATCTCGTTGGCAATAAGTCGCAATTCTGCAAAAAAACGCCTTCAATTTTCATGACAAATACCCGAGTGTAATAAGACACGGAATATCATCAAAGTGCAAAATACTCTACACTCGAGACAGCGGGCAGAACTACCCGCAGCCTGCTTCCGGACATGACTATCCTACAGATTCCCGTCATTAACTAATGGCTTCATCACTTGAAGCGTCCAGGAAGCACATACACTCCGACCCAGGCAAACGAGAATCTATCTTCGTCTTCGCAGCTCGTCTCCCCCCCGCGCAGGTCGCGAAACGCCTCCCCCACTCCCTACTCGGGGGCCCGCCGCCCCCGCTCTCCCGTCCCCTCCCCGCGAGCGCGACATGCCAACCCGACCCCAATCCTCGGCGGTGCTGTTGCACACGTCCACGGCGAGCACGGCCGTGAGCACCAGGGACGCGAAGAGCAGGAACCAAAGACCGGGTTGCGCGCCCTCCTCGGGGCGGTGGTCCCAGCGGTACTCGACCTGAAAGCTGGGGCCCTCGCTACCGGCGGTGGCGGTTGCGGCGGTATCGCCATCTACAACGGACCGAACATCGTAAGGAGTAGGAGAAAAAGGGTGGTGTTGATATTACAAGATCGTGAGCGCTTCGGGAAAGAGGGCGTGTTGGTCGTTCCGTTCCTGGGGGCAAGGCTGTCGGTATTTTGCCGTGAAAAACAACGCGGGCTTCTCGCTTAATGATCCTCACGCGGACTGGATGAAAAAGACGAGCTTTGGCTCATCACACTGTCTGCCAACGCACTTGCTTGTGGGTGGCACGTGTATGTATCGTGCTCTGATCGGTTCTTGCTCTGGTGTCAAACACAACCGCTTGCCCCCAAAGGCACACACAGCGACGAGAACTTTGTGACTGAATATGGTTCGCCCCTGTCGGGTTTCCGGGGTTGGACTATTGACAGACATCATCCAAGACAGAGATACCGCAGGCATCTGCGAGAGAGAGAGAAAGAGAGAATCGGTCGCTGCGAGAAGAGGAGCGCAGGAACTATGCACAATAAAAAAAAAGCGACCCTCACCCAATACCGGGGCCTAGAAAGGTCGTATAATGAAACGTACGTGAGGGTGCGATTTGGAAACGCACGGGAGGGGGAGGATTCTGTAGCCGTACATGCTGAACATCCTCCAACACTCTTTGCCCAGTGCCCGAACAAGCTCATCTACCCGGGCAACGCGCGCATCACCGGAATTCAACTGCCGTATCGAGAGACTCACACACGGGACCCGAGCGAATCTTGACGGTTTCCCCCCCCGGCGCGTGCGAAGGTCGCCACGAGCCTCTTCAGACGCGCCCTTCTTCGTTACCGCTGTCCTCCTCTCTCAACCTCACCCGGCGCAGAACGAACTGGTCCTGAGAGAACGCGAACACTCTTCAACCAACGGGGGAGCGCGTCATCGCACGTAGGAGGAGTGGAGGTTGGGGGGAGGGACTGTTTAGTGTGCGAACTTCACCCAATCCCGCGAGAAGAATAATTTGTAGGCCGACTACAGCAGTAGAACATGGTCGCCGAGCTCGACGGTGCCGAAACGGTCACCGATGTACGACGTTTAGGTGCCCGCATGTATATGCGGATGTGTCCTGATCTGACCTTTTTTTCCGGAGAAAGAAGTTGCTCTATTGTACAGTCCGAACTTACACAGCAACCCGATCCTTGTCGGGAGAGTGTGTGCCGCTGTCTGGCAAGATAGTCTTGAACTGGACCGTGTCCGGTCGTCCGAAGCGAGGCATCTGCGATCGAAGGGCCTTTTCCCACGTGGTGCTTCCCGTTTCTACATGTGCGTGTATGTTTGCGCAGAAAACAGGTTATTTATGTGACACACGTCGGGCAGAGGGGGCGGGAATTGGGTTTATTTCGCACATGCTCTCGCTCACTTTCATGCAGGATGCAGCCGTGTACCCTTAACCCCTTTGGGTCTAGGCTGGACTGTCAGATTTTATTTTGCGCCAAAAAAAAATATAACGAGAGCGAGAGCGAGCGGGAGAGAGAGAAGGGCAGAGAAAGACACCGGTGTACTTCTGCACACGCAACAGCTATCTCCACCTGTAGGCCATGAGGGAAGCCGGCGACAGGGTAGTGGCCACGGACAGGGTTGATGGGTGGTCGCGCTGCGGTCAGTAGGTCAGGTTAGCTGTGTAGACTTTGAAATAATCAGCCGTCTAGCTGCCTCAACTAGTCTATTTTCGGTCTATTGTACATGATTAGTCCAGAGAGGGTAAAATGATCAGTGAAGACCCATAGCTGGTATTTCTACTTCTGTACTTCTCTGTTCTCTGTCCCCCCACGAAATGTGCCCTGCCAGCTCTCTAGAGCTCCTTTGTTTTTCAAACAACAAGCACATCCACCAGCACACACCTGTACCTCGTGGTTTCCTGGGTTCGGGCGAGGGTATGTGTGGCGCTACGAGTGTGGATGTGTTGCTGATATATGTTACTCGTCTACTGCAGTCGTTCGATGTAGCTGCTGACACAATGACTACTGGATCTGGGAACGATTTTCAAATTGTTGGGAGATGCAGCAACCACGATATCCTCGATATCTGGGCTTCCGCAGGGCTTG